TTGATTTGACAATTTCAAAACCTCTATGAATGGTACGACGATGTTTTTACTCTGAAAATTCAATCAATAACTATTGTAATACGTTCTTTTTTTTTTTAGTACTGCATTATTTTATAAGAAAAAAGTCTTACATAGATAAAAGAGTTTATTTCTTTATCTTTTTTAAAACTAAATTAATAACCATCATGTCAGTTTCGAAGTCATCCAACTGTTCTTTCATTCCTTTCTCATGTAAGTCCCAATATTGATCTAATATCTTGTCGATTTCTTCTGATGATCGTTGTCCATTATCGATCAGTGCTTGCTTGAGCGGATATTCAAGAGCGATACGCACGGCCGCGGTCAGTACTCGAGCCAAATAGTCAAGTGTTATCTCACCATTTCGTAACTGTTCTCCCAGAGTTGATTTGACGTTAACAGTGTCTGATTTGATCAACTCAAGATCAAATTTTGCAAAAAGATCCCGATCGACACATTCAGAATAGGAGCGACAATATATAGGTAGTGTATAATCAAGTAGTTCTGGAGATGATAAGAGTGCTCGAGCACATCTATACAGGAGTTCACCATGATCACGGGTAGCTTTACCATTATTTGCGAGGATTACCAAAATTAAAACACCACCGGGCACCAATTCACGGGACCGATATTCAAGAAAGTGAGCATAATCAAGAGCAGCTTGATGTTTGAACGCGTTTATTTCGTTGTCATTAAGAGAACAATGAACTAGACATTGATCAGATAAATTGCATGGTTTGTGCGACAACCAATGTAATGAAGTTGAAGTATAGCCGATAGTCAGTGAGTTAGAAGGCAAACATTGTTGATAAAAAGAACGGCCACTAGCCACTCCGTGATATGAACTGTTTTTGTTGAGAATATCAAAGAGAGATGCCCAATCATTTGTTGGTAAATCATTATGCACGACGAGGATCTGTTGTTTATTCTCATCAACTTTTTTGGTTTCCTTCAATGTTTGAATGATGAATTGCATTGCATGCATGGAATTGGAGCCATGAGATGAACCATAATCGCCGATGATGACAAGTGGCAAACTTTCCATCTCGATTGCATCTATTGCTTGCCGAATATATGCAGCAGATAATTTGACTGCAGCCATTTGAGTAAGAGAATTTGCATTATAGTCTTGCCCCATGCCCTGTGTTGTTTGTGCTGAATCGTTGGAACTCATAGCTGTTGCTTTACTAAAAGATAAAAACACAATTATATCTTGTGCATGTACTCGCGTTCGAGTGAAAGGATGGCAAAAAACAACGATAAGTAGATGGTTTCATTCGTTCTTGCATTATCTATTTGCTTTTTTTTCTATATGTCAATGAATAAAACACACTGTTTTCTTTCGAAGAAAGATAGCAAATATCAAATGAACTATTATGCAGTGATATTTTGCAGTCATACCCATTCAATCTGTTCACTCAACCAAATATAGTCTATGAATTGAAGAGGACCATTGAAAAACCTGAAAAAAATTAGTATCTCTTTCACATCTCCAAAATTCTAGTTGTCGTAGCCATTTTGTTATCTCAAGCGTCCTTTATCTACTAAATAGTATATTCTGAGAACATTGCTCTATCGGAATTGAGAAGGAAAGGTGCAATGAGAACAATGAAAAGAGCCAAGTGGCAGCGCGGTTAATATTTTCTGTCTTAGAAAGATCGATTGATAGTAGAAAAAGTCGATTTTAATATGGCACAATACACTTTGTCTAATGATGTCACACTTCTTTCCATTGGTCAAGTGTTCTAACTAATGACATCTGTTGTGGCGTTATCTTTAATAAATAAGTAAACTCGAAAATCTAGTGAAACCAAACAATCGATGTGGCTAGTATAGGCAGCGTCAACGCGTTGAGACTTATTGAGACGCATGATTTCGACTGAAACATAACATTTTTTTAAAGAATTTAAAAAATTCATACAGTGAGGTATATAGAAAACCAAAAGTGAAAAATCGTAGTTAACTCAACATTTTTCGAGTGGTTTTTACAGCATGAGCTCGTACTGTAGTCATAAGATGTAACGAATCAGTCAGGCATTCTGTTAATATGGACCGTATTCAATTTGTTTATTTTTTCCGTTCAATGAAACGTGTGAGTAAACATGTGTCAGAGAATTTATTCTTATATTAGGAGAGAATTTCGTAGAAGAGCTTAATCTGAAATTATGAATATTTTCTATTTGTTCACTTCATGTTAATCAAGAAAATACTGCATTTCGTATGCTTTTCTATTTAGTGACGACGTGATCCAGTGAAGAGTTTTTCCTTCTATTCCAGAAATTTGGATTACACCTTCTACTGATTGAGGAAGATATTTGTCTTAAACTTGCTCTCGTTCAGAAGATAGTGTGTCTAATGCAGTCTGAAATTTGATAGAAAGTATGTCTCAAGCATTCTCTTATTTGAGAAAAAAATATATCGTACTTCTTCCATTTCTACGAGAATGAATCTTCAATTTGCTTCAGTTCTAAACTTTTATATTGTCCTTTTCTCTATTTTTCGTTACTTATGATAGAAATGAAAAGAGTTCATATTGGTTTCTACCTGAAGAATGAAATGCTAATCAAAGGAAGAAATCAGCATATAAGTCTTGTACTCGATAGTTTAAAGTAACATTAGTTTTTGTCAATCTATACCGTGCTATTTTTTTAATTGGTAAGCTTGTCACTAACAAAGTTCAAGATATTCATTCATTGGTGTGAAAATTATCCCACAACGACATTATTTTCTTCCGTTCTTGATTAATGATACATAGAATTATTCTTTTCATTGATTTCAGTTGTCCATCGAGAACTTTTCTGTTATTTTATGAATAGTTTCTTCTATCGACGAAATCAAGCATTCTTCCATTAAGTAATGCGACATATGTTTTAGATTCATCAACAAAATGTCGAGAGAATCGTCTGGAAAAGTCTATTGTGCTTCGAAACTATAATTGTCCAAAAATCTCTTACATCATTGTTATATCCCTCATCATAGCGTGAATACCAAAGAAAACTATAAAAAATCACTATCGAAACTCAAAGAAAGTATTAACAATCACCATCAATAGCCATCAGGATCAGATAGTATAGTCTATATAAAACACTCATCAGCAAGCATTATAGCATTGTACATCTAGAATCAACAATATTGAATGCACCATTAACAGCAATGTTGAACGAAATATTACCAAAAATATCAGAACAAGTAGTAACTGAATCATTAGTTATTAATGAATATCCGCCATAATTATCTGTTATAATACCGAGTGACAAATTACATGTGAACTAGTTTCAAACTGGTATGCAAATAATAACTAAGATTTGTGGTGAAATTGTATATGGTATCAAACAAAGCCAACTTGCTTTTAAATTTGTTGATAAATTAAAAAAACTGATAAATGATTTATTTTGCTTTTATGTAATACAACATTTTAAAAAAGTGCTCAATGAAACATATCTACGCTATTTAGTTGATCAAGCACTATACCCACCAATACAAGCATGTTATCCAGTTAATGAAACATGAGAGAAAAGAAAAAGTGATACATGTGTATGCGTTCCAAAATGTTACAATGTATTTTCATTCAACGAAAATAGTCCAATAACCGATTCAATTTATTAACTTTGCTATCACCTATTTAATCATGGTTCTGACCTCACGCATCAGAAAGTGTTTGGATCTTAATTGACATGAGAATATGGAATAAAATGAAAGGTTTTTCAAATATAACTTATTCGTAGATGATTATCTGACTTTGCAACCTAGCTATTTTATTTTAGGTAGTCAAGGCACCGTAAAAAATAAGAGAAGATTATACATTCATTTTACAAGTGAACCTCACGAATTTTCATTAGAGTCTTATGTAATTCTTTAAAGAACAAAACAATTATATTGCTTATATGTTCGATAAAAATTTGCAGCAACAAGAACAACAAAAGATTACAGAAAAAAATCAAATGAAGAAGTAATGGAAATTCTGATCGAATGTGCTCGATATTTATCAGAACAAGATTAAGCATTTCGTGTACTTATAGATGAAGAAGGTAACTTCCATCAACCGGTACATATATTATTTCGACATAATTCAGTATTGGCGAGCTGGATAACAAAATAATAGTGCTCGTCCATATAGAAATAAATATGTAGCTAACAAGAAATTTTCTAATTATTAGTAAATAGATAGAAATATTTTCTTTTAGATCACTTATATGAGTAATGATTTTCGATTCATAGATCGGACAAAATTCAATATATTGAAAATTAAATAGATTTCAGTATACAAGCGGTGGCTACCGAAAGTAGAGTTCACTGCTGAAATGAATGAATGTTACAAAAAGCATACAGGAAATATTAACTATAGATCTTAGTTGATGCATATAAAAAAACATGAAGAGATCAAAATCGATTGAAATTCAAACAGAAGAAACGAGCTAAGTTTGAAAATAGAATGTCTACAGGACGATATTGATCTAAGATGCAGCGTATCAGTCAAAAATGAACTATTCATCTTATTTCTCCGTTCATTCCAAAGAACTCATGGCCATTGTATTGACCTGATTGAAATTTATTTGTTCATAAATTACAGAACTAACTGACTGAGCCTATAAAGTTGGGTTTTATTATAACAAATGCAATATTGATAAACGAAATTCATTTATTATTATTAGATATGAAGGTATAAGTAAGATCTTCTTTTCAGCTGCATCCCCACCCGACGCCCTGCTCATGAATGATCATCTAGATTAATGACCCATGTTACAAAAGCCGGATCAGTTCTAGCGGTAAACGCCGGTTTACCGCGGTTCGCTATTTAAAAAAAAGCGGTTAACCGGTAGAACCGCGGTTAACCGCCGGCTTTTGTTCGGTTTTCATCACATGGGAAGGCATGTATACAAGAGTAAATTTGTTTTCTTTATTTCTTTTATTATTCTTTTTTCTATCAATCTTGAATAAACAACAAAATATATTATCAACAGTTTTTCATATGAGAGTTAGTTTTATGGTTTGTATTGTACTTGATAAAGACGATTGTTTCCGTCTTCAGAAAATAAAAGGCTACCATCTTTTAGAACAAGTAAACCAACTGGCCGTCCAAATGCATCGGGTCCAGATGGATTAGTTAGAAATCCATAAACAAAATCTTCATAGTAACCCATTGGTCGATTAGTACTACGATTGAATGGAATAAAGATAATTTTATAACCAGTTCCGCGGTTTCGATTCCATGAACCATGGAATGCTGCAAAAGCACCATTTCGATATGGACTAGGAAATTGTTTTCCTGTATAAAATCTCATATCAAGTACTGCTGAATGAGCTTGAAAAAGTACATCAGGTGTTCGGGTTCGTGATACTAGATCAGGTCTTTCACTTGTTCCATTACTTAGGCGTCGTCTAGGATCAGTTAATTTTGAACTCAAATAAGCAAAAGGCCATCCATAAAATTCATTCTGTCGAATACGTGAAAAAAAATCAGGTACAAGATCATCACCAAGTGCATCTCTTTCTTGACATGTTGCATAAAGATCATTAGTTATTGGATGAAATGCTAAACCAACAACATTTCGAAGACCATAAGCAAATGTTTTTCTATTACGACCATTGATATTAGCTTGCTGAATAGAAGCTCGTGGTAATGATTCAACAGCAACATTTGATGCTGAACCAATACTAACAAATATTTGATTACCAGTAGGTGATATAGCAATAGTTCGTGTTGAATGGCCATGTTGAGGATAAGTCATTATTACTTGACCTGTACCTCTAATTCGTCGACTTCCTCTAGTCCAAGAATAACGTCGAACAGCATCTCGATTACCCACATAAAAATATCCATTGAAAAAAGCCATACCAAATGGATAATTGAGTCCATTAGATGCATCAGCAAATGTTAAACGTTGATCTGGATAACCATTGTGATCATTATCGACCAGACAAGAAATACGATCAATACTAGATTCACTGACAAGGATATCATTTGTAGGTGTATAAATAAGATAACGTGGTGCTGTGAGTCCACTCATAAATAACTTGACAGTGAATCCACGAGGAACATAGAGACGAGGATTTGCAGGTACTGAAATGACCTGAGGTGGTTTAGACGCTGATGATGACGCATAGGGTCGTGGAAGACTTGCAATTGTTATACGAATTGGTCGTGGAACAAAAGTAACATTTGTACAATTTGTTTGATGAATTAGAAATAAAATTAGAAATGGAAAAAAAGATGATAGGAATAACGAAAACATATTTTGAAATTTGTAAATCTGTTGTCGTTGTCACGCTTTCGTTTTGTTATCAACTTTATCAAATATCACATGTATATATATATATATTAAAGCATCAATACAATAAATGAAAATACATAATAACAATGTTTCCAAGGCTACTTATCATAATACTATGTGCGTCATCCTATTTTCTTTCTTTCTTTTTTTTCTATCGTCCAACGGGTGCTGCAGGTATGTTATATGATACATATATATACGAATATATGTTATCGCATTAAATTATGAATACACTTCGATTGCTTGATTACACACGTGGATGAGTACAAACATAAAAACAGATTACACAGATTCATATATTCGTATATTTTTTATCGTGCTACAATAAAAACAAAAAAATACGTCATGTTGTTTGTTAAAATAGAATATTGATAAGCGTTAGATATATAATTTTGATAGAGTATCTTCAGTGGCCATACTTTATCAAAAATCGATCATCTGATAAATGATACAACAAAAAAAGACGCTGAAAAGTAATTTTGAATCAGAGTCAATTCAAGATGATAGATTGTCTTGACAGCCATGTATGTTTCGAAAATAATACAATAAAAATAAGAAAAGAGAGTGGATTAAATAATACTGCTTATTTTCTTGTCATTTTACATTAGTTCTTTATGATTATTTAAAGAAAACTGAAATAATTGATCAATATTTTTCGGAAGTAGACTTTAGCAATATTTATTTGAGCAACGATAATTTCAGTTCGAATCTAAACAGTATCTGAAGAAACAATCATAGTTCATCGAGAATATTTCTATTCTATTTAGTCAATCATTCTCGTTAATTTATTTGGTTCAGGTGAGAACTATCCACTCAATACGAACTATTTTTGCTGTCTGACTTGTCTGATTAACTATCTAGCAGCATAATTCAAGTCGAACAATGGAACTATCATCAATAAAATGGTCGTTTTTGATCATTTAAAGGGCTTCTATAGGTTGTCGTATGCTTTCTATAGATTTATCTCATTTGCATTTAATAATTAAAAAGAAAATGGTAGATATCAGCTGGAATCCAGCATTTTAAAGACATCTTCTCCTATACACAAAACTCTAGCAACTTCAGTTTCATTAAAACGGATAAAAAATTGACAAGCTTTTATACAAGTATGTCACCAATATATTTTTTTTTCTTTGAAAAGGAAACAATACATTCGATTTTAATAAGACCTCTAGCGCTTGAAGCTATCAAAAAATTACTGTATAACGTGAGGAGAAATTGTATCATTACACTCAACATAGTATGCATGACCAACATGTAATCCTTCAAAGAGAAAGCAATTTACTTAAATACTCATCGTTATTATTGAAACTTTTGAATCGAATTTTTTTAATTAGAAGAAACGTATTTCACAAAACAAAGAGAGCAAAAATTTAATGAAACTTGATTCAAACTGACAAAAATTCGTCTTCATTGGTTGAAAACTGTCTTCCTAAAAAAAAATAAGATCAAAACTACTGAAAAACTATGTTTTGATACAAAATTATTAACTTTCTCCTCAGTTCAGTACTAATGAATTTTCTGAAGAAACTGAACCCATTGCCATCCCATTGTGATCAATAAATTTCATGGACACTCTAAAAACTGACACCCTCAAAAAGCCAATGCTTCTATAAAAAAATTGCATTTCAATGTTTTTATAGAACAATATTCTTGTAGTAAACCTATGAACAACTAAAAAATCGAATATTTCAGCCCACACTCAGTATGAGCACGTAATATTTTGAAGTTGTTAGTTTGGTGATAAGAACGTTTGTCTGACTCGAATATGATCAATCTCCTCAAATTACAGTTCGCGACTCTCCATTGTTATATTCTAATAAAATGCGAGCTCTTATCATGATTTTACTTTACTTACAAGATATGTGAAGTCGCAAGATCCTTACATTTTGAAAACTTGTCTTTTTCACTCACAGAAGAAAGATGCTGACTAGTGATCTGAATGCTTATTGAATTGTAAAGATATATTTGTATTCGATTGTCTTTTTAAAAATATTTATTGATGCAAGTTTGGCATAGATTTAAAAGCTTATGTACAATATGAAAGTTTTAAAAAAAATATTAGTCGAGATTAGATTAATGTTTTTTATGGGCAGCTCCACCTCCAATACGTCCATCTTGATTTAAATCCATATGTGTCATTTGTTCAGCTTTACCAAGAAGACCTATCGAACATAAAGAAAAACTTTATTAAGTTTTAAAATAAAATAAGAGATTGTACTCTTTCACCTCAATGTTTTCTTTTTGACTCATGTAAAAGATTATTCAGTTCATTTTGAAAAAAAGGATAGTTTACTTACCTCCTCCTCCTGAAGCTTTTTGTCCTCCGACAACTCCATCACGATTTAAATCCATATGAGTAGCCTTTTCCATTTGTCCAGTAGCACCACCTCCTCCAACACGACCATCTTTATTTATATCCATACCTGTTGCCTTTTCCACTTTATTTGTAACAAAATCTATCCAAAATAATAAAATATACGTATAAAGAAATATTATCTCAGTATAAAAACTTACTCATGTGTTGTATTATCAAGGAATTAAATGCTTGCACTTATATTTTTATAATGTTTGGTAAGAAAAAGATTTTGTCTGCTTTTATATATGTTAAAGAAATGCGACGTAAAAAAGAAACGAGTCAACGAGTTTGTTTTTTGAGTCAATATGAAATATTTTACGTCGCACGTTATTTATACATGTGCACTTGAAGTTCAAAAAGAACAGAGAAAGAAACAACATTTCAATTTATCCTTGATTACACGTAAATATTGAGTTATATGTTAGTTTTTCTCTTCTGTCGTGCAGTAAATAAGTTGTGACATATACCGTAATGGATTTATAGCTTTTAAAATAAATTTCTCTTTCTATCTTAATATATATTCAGAGCCACAAAGATTTATTAATTTAGAAATTAAAAAGTAAATTGGCTATATTTTTCTTGTACATGAAATTATTTGAGTAAATTTTTTTATGGAACATTTACACTATGACAATTGAACTTTGATAATGTCAGAGATTATGTCTGATTTATCACAAGAAGTATTATTTGAGATATTGATTATAAAATAATAAATATGTTTCTTGATCGAGTTTCGATTATTACCATTTCGACAAAATATATTGCAACTATTTCATCATTCATGCAAGGATGACTGATACGGTACTAGTACATTTCGTCGCAATCATTTCGTCGCACGATCACTTCGTCGCAGAACATTTTGTCGCGTTCTGTTCGTTGCATTCTACTCGATTAATTCCTTTTTTTTAAATAATCAATTGAAATAAAATAAAATAAATTAAAAATTCTGAAAGATTTGTATGATAACGATAAACGATTGACTATTCTAAGGCATATGACTTTAATTGGGAAAACGTATCAATAAAAAATATTAATCAAAAGTGATCATGATAGAGCTAAAGTGAACGAAGAATAATTAGATTTGTCACACAATTAATGAGTTTCAACATAATCTAGACCAACAGTAACACAGATCCAATGTTTTTAATTATGGGATTACAATAAAAAAAATATGCATTGATGACATTGAAAATATATTTCATTTCTCAATCTCAATATTCACTGCACACTACTCAAAATAAACGTCTCAAATGGAAAAACTTCTTTCTGCAAAAGAAAACAGTGCTCCTCTATGAAAATTACCTCTACACTATAGAATTTTCAATAACGATATTTTCAATCTCATCAATATATATTTTTATGCATCGTGGTTGTATAATTAAGAACATTTGATTAGTATTATTGTTGGTCTAGATTATGTTGAAACTCATTAATTGTGTGACAAATCTAATTATTCTTCGTTCACTTTAGCTCTATCATGATCACTTTTGATTAATATTTTTTATTGATACGTTTTCCCAATTAAAGTCATATGCCTTAGAATAGTCAATCGTTTATCGTTATCATACAAATCTTTCAGAATTTTTAATTTATTTTATTTTATTTTAATTGGTTATTTAAAAAAAAGGAATTAATCGAGTAGAATGCAACGAACAGAACGAAAGAAATTATTCTGCGACGAACAGAACGAAAAAAAATTGTTCTGCGACGAACAGTCTTGCGACGAAGTGAACGCGACGAACTGTCTTGCGACGAAGTGAACGCGACGAACTGTCATGCGACGAAGTGATCGGTCACCAACTGATACGTATAACAGTTTTTCAAAACTGCAATATATCAGAAAATGCAACAAGGTCAGCTGTAAAAAAGAACATACAAATAAATAATCCCTTATATTCAATATGATAAATACGCAATCTAGGTTGTATTTTGGTTATTTAAGAACGAAGTAGTTTGAGTTTAATCTATTGTATTGACTGTCAACCGAAGTATAACCATTCAGTCGATTGAATATAATCAACAAGATAAAATCTCTCATGATATTCTGATTAGTATTCGTGTTCTGTTTTCGTCATTTATTTCAAAATCATAAATATATAATTGAAGATAGATGTTTATTATGAAATTCATTGCAGCTTTGTACGCATAAAATTTTTCACAGAAAGCTATAAAAACTAATTTTTGCAGAAATATATCGTGATTGCTGTTTCATTATAAAATTATCTAAAATAGATATTCGATTAAAATATCACTGACAAAATTATATTTATGAATTTGTTCCTAAATAGCGATTTTATTAATTTATACATAGAAGAACTGGTTGGTATGATATTTTCGTACAGAAATGCAACGTAAATCAGAGAAAAATGATGATGAGATTTAAAATCAAACATTATTAGTTTTTAATAGATACGAACCATGTTTTCACATGCGTAATTATCAATAAATATTTGATATATACAAATATTTTTACACTTTTTTGTTTTCTAGTCTTACTTAGAATTTATTTTTTTATTATTTTATTCATAATATTTCTAAAAGAATTATCCACAATGTTGTTAAATTTAATTTCTTATTTCTACTCATCGTTGAATAAATAAAATACTGATAAGCCATGAGAATAAGTATATGCTATCATGATGACTTTTTCATCAAAAATAATATAGTAACTGGATAAGATATAGTCGATGATTATATGTACTTATCACTTGTCTTGTATCTATGAAATATTTTACGTCACTGGTCACATGCCTTTGTTTTTTATTCTCACATATAATTCTTCAGTATTATCTGTCAATTAGTCAAAGAATCTATTACTCGGTCTGCTTATTCAGACGATAAAATGTCATTGCATTTTTTATAATATTTTTTAAGTGATCTTGGTATCTATAATATTTACAACAGCGGCAACGAATTTATTTGTGCTGTGGTAGCTTCTAACTTCGATCCACAAATACTCAATGATAATCTAAGCAACAATAGTCTCTGTGACTAATATGTGTCAGTTACTGGTATCAAAGGTATACTTACCGTAAAAATGCTCGATTGATGTTGTTTGAAAGAGTTCAAGCAAAACAATCTAGTTAAACATGTTAAACATTTATTGTTTTCTTCTTCTAAAGGTTGATCTTGACTCGAGTTCAGCAGCTTTCAATCAGATTGGTGATTTAGACTAAAAACGCATCCGTATCAGTTGGTATTGCGTTTAAAGATAATAAATCTGATGCAATAAATACAAATGATATTACTTCTCTCTTTCATTATTTATCTTGTTAATAAATTCTGATTGGATTTCTTAAATGTTCTATCATATCAACCTGAAAGCTAACGTCTATTAAGAAAAGACAAAAGAAAATCGGACTCTTTAACAAGTTTGAACGACTCTCAAAATTTAGCACAATCAATAAAGAGATATAAATGTATGCTTTGATACGAATTCAAATAAGTGCTTGTTCTTAATTTGTTATTCAAAAGCTGTATGAGACTAAAGAGAAAAGGGCTTACATAAAAATAATGTATTAGCTTGTGAAAGTGACTAATTTCATGATGACATTGTCAGTGAAACACTCGTTACAGCTAAGCTATCCTCTTTCAAATATTTATTGGGTTTTCATTTATTAGCAATTTAACAATCAATATCATTTCGAAGTATTATCAAATGAGTTAAAAGTGAAATGAGTCTATATTAGTAATAATAATGATACACATGATACTTCAAGGTTAATAATTGATTTAAATTTCACCAGACAAGAAAAAAATCTGTTCGAACATAAAGTTTTTGCAAAAGTCTATTCAATAGACAAAAATTTTTGAATAGAACTCTTATCGAAATATATTACATAATCGACGCTTTCATGCAGAGATTTTTAATACAATTGACACACATTTTCTATGTATGATTGTGTATTTTGAAAATACTTTATAGAAAATAATCAACGCCAAAGTTTTAAAGTCTCTATAGAATGATTGACAAATTCTCGTAGGATTTCATGACGAAATATTTCTTGAAATAAGTTAAAAGATAAAGCAAAATTCACTCAATGAAACTGTATACTAAATATATTCGCTTTGCTATTATAAAAGCCATAACAAGCCAAGAAGAAAGAAAATAGATGCACTCGCTTTGAAATTTTTCTCATGTGTTGAATTTTTTTCTTTTTTTAGTGAAGATTTGAGCCAGCAGAAATAACAATGCGTCATAAGTGTTTCTACTTCACTAGAGCGTCATCAGATGGTTTATTGGATTTATAAAGGTGTGAGGTGTGAACGTTACTAAAGAGAAGATTTCTATCCAGACTCAGAATCAGACCCACAACCGCATTCAGAACTTCACATAAAACTTGCATAATTTAATCTTGTGCCAAGTAGTTTGTCTCAGCTCAAAAATTCAATTGACAGTAGTTTACTACTTAAATGGTGGGCTATCTTCTGACCGCCATTCTATTGCAAGATACTGATGTTATTTTTTGACTAGTAATCTACTGCTCGTACACAGTAAGTTCTTATCAGTACTGCAGCATACCTGACTGTTGTTTGAGTCAAGGTGAAATATATGTTATGATTTGTTTCATCGAGTCTACTGACGTGCAACAGTTGAAGACATTTCACTATAAGATTTTGACTTTTTTGCAGCTGATAAATCGATCCAGAAAATTTTCTATTTACTTCCGCTTAGCTTCATAAACATGGATCATTTCTAATATGTGTGCAATATAAAATGACGTAAGAAAAACTTATATTAATCATTACAGTTATCGATATTGAAAAAAAAAGCAAAAACAAATAATACTGTTTCATAAAACAGATTCGCTAGTTATTATCAAGAAACAATGTCTTTGTGTCTTGTTATACATCTCAAAAAGTTAATCAAATACTAACTGAAAATGTCTTTTCGTTGCTTGCTCTTCCCTTCTTCTTTTTTTTCTGAAATTTAACCTTCACAAAATATATTCTTATCTATGTTCTTTAAAGAGACTTTGAAAAATAGTTATATTTGTTATTTGTTACCACATTCTCCTTGAATAAAGAATTTCAATAGGTAAGTCGAATTTTTTCAATATACAAATATTAAATATTTTTGATTCTATAATTAATGAGTGCAACATAGTGATTAGTAAATTTAAAAAATGTCAACTGAAAATAATTCAACTTTAAAAATAATGGCACTTGGTCGTCCATTCAAACTTGGCATGCTTTATGACTATAGAACCGATCAACTTATTTCTGATACATCATTGTGGAATTCGAATCCATCATCAGAATATATTAATTGTCAGCCTTTATCATGGAACAAGTGTGAACTTTATATAACAGATTCGTTTACAGAAAATGCAGATCTATTAGGAATTGATAACAATCTTAAATTGAGTGTTCTAGCTAATCTTGTTCAATTATCTGATTCAGCAAAATTAATCGATAATCAAGAGAAAAAAAATCATGTTCTACGATTTATTTTAAAATATTCAATAAAAAAACGAATTCATGCATTAACAATGACTTGTATCAATAAAAATTATACAAAATATAAAGAAATATTGAATCAACAAATTGCTACTCATGTTGTTACTGATATTCTTTATGGTGGTGAAATATTTTTTGTATTTGATCGAATATTATCTGTTGATGAAAATCGTAAAAATATTGAAAATAGTATCAAACTATTTTTGAAAAAAATTGAAACATTTCAAATACTCGATAATGGTGAATTAGATTGGAAAAATCATGAGAAAAAACTAGCTGAAACATTAACATGCCAATGTTATAGTGATTTTCAAATCCAAACAAATCCAACAACATTCGAAGAAATAGTTAAATTGTATCAAGAATTATCAAAACTTATTCATCAAAATACTGATAATACAATACCAAAACAAGTATGGATGTATCCACTTTATTTATTAGATGAATTTCAGTTAGCAAAGAAAAATTTTTACGAAATTAGTAATGATATGCTTATTAAAATTTTAGAACTTTTCAATAATTTATATCGATTAAAAGTAATTTTCAATAATTTAAAAATTAGCTTATCATCTATGCAAATGTTCTCTCGAACTGAACAACAATTGTTAACATATTTTACTCAATTATCTGAAATTGAAAATCATCTAAGAAATCATTTGATGCAATTATTACCTAAAATTCGTAGTGGTTCTATGAATGAAATAGCTCTTAATGATCTATTTAAAGATCTTGATTTATCTTCATCTAATCAACAAAGATTAAACGATTGGATTCAATTTAAAACAGATGAAATAAATATATTTAAGGATTTTCGAAATGATTTAAGAAAACAAGATAATATTCATCAATTATCATGTTCATTTGATGAAGTTCAAAATCAATTTAAATCTAAATTTATTCTTCGTTTAATAATTCACGTTACAGAAAAGAAAGATTCATTTTTAAATGAAATATTTCAATATAATAATAATGACATAACAAAACCAATAAATCAAAATACAAATCAAGATTATTGGTTTAATGAAAATAATTTGTCATTAATACAAAATCAAATTTCATTGTTTATTGAATTTGCTCGTTTCAATTATTCTAAACCAAATATTGAATTTATTGTTAATGAAGAATATGCTGATGAATTTCAAATGAATAAAGGAGTAACATCTATTCTTTATCAAAATGGTATTCCTATCAATTTTAAAATTCCAAGTAGACCAGAACAACCACATACAACAAATGTTTCAGATCATAGTTTAACACTTCATTGGTCAAAACCTATCCACGGAAGTCAAAGTATTGAACAGTATAAGATTTATAGTAGAAATACTTCAAATTATAAATGGAAGTTATTATTAACTACTAAAGATACAACATTATCTGTGAATATTCCAAATCTTATGAAAAAAAAATATCAATTCAGAATACAAGGAACTACTTTTGTAGGTGATACAGCTGCAAGTAATGCTAGTGATATAATTGGCTAGTATATGGTTTTGTTAGTTGTATAGAATTAGTTATTTTTAAACTTTTTTGTGATTTACATTCTTGAAATTATTCTTTGTGAGAATTCATAGCATTTTGGCATGAAATTCAGGGTGAAAACTTGATTTTTTTCATTTTTGGTATTTTTTGCTTATTTTCTAATATTTGCAAGCAATAAAAAATATTTATTATATAATGCGGCTATACTCCTATAGACGTGAGCACTAGCTATAGCTAACCCTATTTTAAAGAGTAACAACTGCTTATTGAAAAAAAGACATAATTAATCATTTTGTGTATAGGTATGCTTGGTCGCATTTTGATTTTTATATTGTACTATTAAGTATTTCTCATAATTTTACGGGTCTATTATACCCTCAAACATACTAGCTATCATTGGTCAATAGCGTTTCATTCAATTGTTCTTCTTCAGTTAGTTACAGAAGAAATTGATATTGATTCTGATGAGAATGACGATAATCCTGAAGATGAACAAGAAGCTGCATATATTGAAATGGTCAAAAAAACTGTTTTTTTTGTGCTTATAAATACTTCAATATGTTCATTCATGATGATTCTCTATTAGAAGAATCTATAAATCATATAAGAGTACAGATCAATACGAGGAAGCAGACTAAAAAGAAGAAGATCATGATGGAAGATGATGACATCAATATAGATGCAGTCACTACAAGTAACTGAATTAGTTGTTTAACAGTATTACTAAGCTATTGTGTTCAAGCCTTGGCGTCATCAGATATGAAATGATCATGAACAAGTTACTAACAGCTGTTTGTCTCTGATTACACGTACAATAGCCACTAATAATGTTGTGACACACACCGTTCCTTGTCTCTAGTATGTGGTTAATCAGTGTCTATAGGAAGTTTGAGTGATTGAGCAGAAGAACTCTGAGTCAGATCGACTTTCTGTCTAGAATTGCAGTTAGTAGTAGTTGTAGGAAAAATATTGGACTTTTGAAACTGTCTCCGAGCAGCACTCTACATTGAAAGATAGTCAAAAGGTGGAGCACTCCTCTTCTTATACAATATAGATGCATTCGATAATATTGATTAACATTTCATTAAATAGAAACAATGTCAAACAACATATCTAGACTTATTGACTAGAGTAATAAAGTCATTAGACATGTTACTATTCATGTAAATCAATTATTCTCTATATCAAATAAATAAATTTTTACATACCATAAAAAATATGTTCCAGATTTTTTCGTTATTCTCTTTATGAAGACAATTTAATGATTGGGTGAATGTCGAAAATACGGAATAGACATCGAGAACTACTGAAGATTCATCTATTTGTAAGGTATCTCTTGCAACTAATTAAGTTAAAAAAAGAGGTTCACATTTGTCCTTTTGCCTTCTATTCAAACTTATTGCAAAATGCCAAAACTGGCAGTTTCTTTCATCAAGAAGGTACATTCATAATATGTATAGTAACTCATCAACTACAAGACATTACTTAATTCCTTCATCTATAGAATACGCAGCAACATCAATATTTCACTCTTATAGATTGTACTTGTATAGCATGTTGTAATAATCTACAAACATTTTTAGATCTAAAGGCACCGTCGCAACCAATCGCTCGTCTACCTACAAAAGTTATTAGCAAACCTATGCCTATTGTTACACCTAGTCAAATCACTAATGAAAAAGCTACTGTTAATGTATCACCCGCATGGTTCCAACCAGTGAAACCTATACCTCTGGAAAAAATCCATTTTCCTGCTAATTATAACAAAAATTCTTCAGCGGATGTCAGTACATACGAATGCTTGTCTATGTATCGATTCATAGTCAAGAATACCGACAATGTTGATTTTGTTGTTGAACCATTTTTACCTGATGTGGGAAATACTGAAACACTTGTAGTAGTTCTGAACAAACTTGCTCATCAACTTGGTGCTTAACTGACTTTTACATCAGCAGACTTTAAATACAATGATAGCGATTATCGAACTACTTGCGAAGTAACCAATCTTGGTAATATTCATTCATTCGTTGCTTCTGAAAGAAACTTTCAAACTGCCAAATTCAACCTTTATTTGGATCTTGACTATAAGAATACGACACGATCACCTGAAGCATTACGAAACTTTGTCTTAAGTGTTATTAACGATATGTGCCATATTGCAGAATGTGATAAAGATTTTATTCGAGTATGTGCTGTGAAAGCAGCTTCATCACTTATCGTTGAAATCGGCATCACTACACATAATGTTAATCAAACAATAGAAATTGCTGATACGGTCAAAGGGAGGCTAATCAAAATTCCGATGGCAAAAACTCCAAGTTTTCTACTTAATGGATCAAAGAAATCATTTACATCAATAGTAGATAAATCGAACAAGACTTCGACACCATCAGTTTCAAGTATTTTGGAATGCCTGTTTCCAGAAAAAGACGAATATACACTTGAGTCCGCCCCTAAATTTTTGGAATTGCAGCCATCCGATCTTGATTCTAGATATAATCGCAACTATACGCATGCTTATGAAGAAATAAGAAGTGGTCATCCGTATTATTTTCCACAAGGATGGTATCATCATGCCCTTAAGGTCAGTGATAAATATCCGAATGATACAGCTTGGCTTGGCATGAGTAATGGTCCAGGTGAATGGGCTGTTGCTTATCATGGAACAGTGTTGAAAGCTGTAAAAGGTATTACAGATCAAAGATTATTACAGGATTTAGTTATCACTGATCTCATGAAATTTGAAGCAAAGCAGCAAAATCCATCGATTCCCGATGTGAAAGGATTATATGTCGCAACACATTGTGATGGAGGAGCTGCCGAGTATGCTAAGCCGTTTAACATAAAAGATTCTAGCGGCAACAGCAAGGATTACCAAGTTGTATTCCAATGCCGAGTTCAACCAGGAAAATTCACGGTACACGCAAGTCCTGTCAAAATTGGTGAGGCATGGCGAGTGTTTGATGAGAAAGCAATTAGACCGTATGGATTACTTCTAAACAATTCATAAACAATAAAATTTACTTTTAACAACTATTAAAAAACCGATAATTTTTATTAATCACAAATATATTTGATATTCTACAAAAATTTCCATCAATATAATAAAATGCTTATAGTTGTTCAATAGCAGAAAGAGCCTGATACTTGATAAAAGAACTTCATGAATTGAAAACAACGTATACGCAGAGTTGAAATTCTGAACATTATGAAACTGAACTATGATATTTTTTCCATATATCGTCGGTTTTTGGTTTTTCTTTTACGAAAACTTGAAGATATTTTATTTTTGTTGATTCTTTTCGATGATCTATGTGTCTGTAATATGCAGACGATTGATCATATTTTGATGAAGTACTATATTAATTCTGCATCAGAAAAGATGCACTAGTTTACGAGGTGGATATTTAAAATATGAACTATGATCAGCGAAATAGTTGTAAACAGAGTTATCAAAAAAATAGACACTAATATATATTGGATAATACATCCGAATCCAAATCATTTCAATACAATATATATAAGAATCAACAACAGTAAATTACATCTATCTTTTTAGAGGATTTACTATCAATTGATCTTAGACCCATTTATTAGCTTCAAGATCTACTTTTACATAAAAAAGACACCTGTTACTCGTATCACATTAAACTCGGGAAAGAATAGTTTAGTTTATGTAATACGCTAAATTATAAAGTTATTTGATTATTTTTCTTTGGTGCATAAGAATAATAATAATGTAACATTCGTAAAAAACAAAGTTAAAATATCGATTGACAACTGTTATATCCAAGTGAGAATAGCATGAATTGTTGTTCCAAGAGTCGTCAGTGCTTGAGTTAAAGTGAAATATAATGTTCATAATTGAATACAATTGCTCGATTGTCGATTTAACTCAACAATTTCGGTACGAAGAACAGGTAGAAATCGATCAGCAGCAGCATTTAAGGGAAAATTTTCAATTAGTTCGTCATTAGTCATTGAGCATTCTTTCATATACATCGATGATTATACAAAGAGAAAAAAAAGCTAAAAATAATTGAATATTTTCTATTTTACCTTACTGTTGCATACATAGTGTATAACATTTTAAACATATAAAGCTATTTTTTCTACTGATTTACATTAAAAGAACTTGCTAAAAAACCCATAATTAAACGATCTAATTCATATTTTCAATGATGCTCAATCGACAAGAGTTAGTTTAGAATTTATCAATAGATAAAAATAACTTTGTTGAAAATCAATGTTGATATTGATTTGTAGTTGTTGTTGTTAGTCGAAATCGATTGAACAGCTTTGACACATTTGAGCTAATTGATAATAATGCCCATAGACAGCGAAGATGGATATGGACCTTTTCTTCAGTCACATTCACATCCACTAAAACAAACATCAAGAATATAACTTCATATTTAATGTTACTATTTTATGCCTAGCACATCATCGAATTCTTATTCAGTTTAACATCATAGAAATCTCAGACTTACATTCATAAAATCTGTATGTACAAGAATTTGTTTTATGTATATTTTCATAATTATCTACGAGTAAAAATGGATCACAAATGATCAATCGATTTTTATTAACTATTTTGACCTGCAGAGAAACATTAGCATGAATAATAGCACCGTTTCACATTGATCTTGGCTCTGTCAACAACTGTCATGTTAAATATATATGTCGTAGGACAGATTGAAATCCAGTTCAGTTTTAAATCGAACTAGGACAGATTGAAATATTTTGATCTAAATCAAGACAGATTACAATATTTTGATTTGAACTAGTTCGGATTGAAATATAGACACTTGAATGAACGGTTGATGAGGGTGAGGGCGAGCGCGAGGACGCGGATAACAGTTCCATCTTCACTCATTCTCATTCACCATACACTCTCGTCCTCATCCCGACACGTATCTTCAACCAGTCAGCCACGAATAATTTGGCTAAAAATTTTAATGTATGCTAGTTCAGATCAAAATTTTGAAGTTAACTAGTTGAGATTAAAATATATTTCGAAATCAACTAGTTGACTTCGAAATTTTAATCTAAACTAGGAATAATTAAAATTTCAATGTATCCTAGTTCGATTTAAAACTGAACTGGATTTTAATTTGTCCTGCGACATCGTAATATGCAGCTGCATTATCATAATTGTTTTCTTTCACTATGTTTATATCACGTAAAATCAGTATTTAATTTTCACTTAAGAAAGGAGTCTTAAAATCTGACCATCTTACACTTGATTCTAATCAAACTCAGAATATGATGTTTAGTTGTTGTTCAGTGGCAGCAAACTTGAAATGGTTCGACTTTGATGATTCTAAAAGTTTATCCGATGAGGTTTAGTTTAACTTAGTTGGTGTTCGAGAAGGTAGTCCAGTTTCCAAAATAAAGTTAACTGAATAGCTATTATTTAGACCAATTCAATGATATTATTGATTTTATGAATACCATACGAATGTCAAATGTTCTATTCGTTCATGTTGTTTTAGCAGTTTTATTTGTACAAATGTGACTTCGTCTTAGTAACCGAGTGTTAGCTAGCATGTTTCGTCCAAGGACCAAACAAACAGTTTCTCGTCTCATCCATGAAACTCATATTGAGCTGATAAAGAACTTTGCACCATATCATGTGCATGTGCATAACATTTATCTTAAAACTATTCTTCATCATCCATAACTTACCACACTTATTCTTCAACGAAGTTTGCCGATAACCCTTTAGCTTTCGTTCAAGTTGCAAGTTTATCTCTGTTAAGGAATCGCTCTGTGTGAAACGTTTTCTCTTCGAAACACAGCGGCAAGAATACATATTTTTGATAGTAATGTTTTCGAAGATGATTCTCACTATCTTCATATTCGCTGTATTCAACTCAAAGAGACTTTCTCAAACCAAATGTTACATTCAAGTGATAATATGATGTGATCTTCTCTAACAGAAACATATATTGGCATTAACGACGATAACATAAACCTTCAATAATCAACTTTTTCAACTAACCTTTACACAGTCACGCTCAATCTGTTCTTTTATTGGATTCATTGAAATGAAAATTAACTACTAATTTAACGAATTCTAATTAAAACAAAACTTTTGTACTCGATCATTGTTGGAAACCACGACGTGAAGATTGTTTTCAAGATCGAGCGACAAATTCATCAAATAATCAAGTTGATTCACTTCCTTTCGTGGTCATTTCCACTAATGACCACAATACATTATTTGATAATTCTTACAGTCAGTAACATAGACAGATCCTAAGTAATCAATAAATACCTCCTCAACAGATGATAGTTGTATCGAAGTAGGTCCTACACTGTGGCCAACAACCACTATAATACATTCTCTCGCGTGTTTCATCCATTTCATCATATGATGATTTTGCCAGTGTGAGACGTACACAGAACGATCATATCCGACGAAGATGTAGTGAAGAGTACCGAGCTGATTCATATGATGGTCTGATCCATTGTCATGCGCCTTAAGTATTTCTTCAATTTCCCACATTCGCCATTGTCTTATTTCGTGACTTTTTCAGTCAGAGATATAAAGAAACCCATCATACTCCATCGCCAAATCGTAACAAAAAACATTCGAAATAATCGTTTTCCCGTTGTTCCATTTCGACGACACCAGTGCACCTTCCTCTTCCTCGTCGATTCTCTCTAGAGATCCAATCGAACAGAGTTTTATTGGTATGAGTTTGATTCGGTTAGTTTTCAGTCTCTGATGACTATTTTATAACGCTACTTTCGACTAAAGTTTTAATGAATATTGGTGTTGGTACGTATAAATATTTGGAAGAGCCAATACTCAATAAACAAAATAAATGAAAAGCAGAAAAAATTGAAATAAATATATTATTTCAAAAAACAAGATATAGCATGAATAAACGAGATTTTTCTGCTTTGCAGTACATATATTGAATTAGTGCTTGTCAAATTTCATGAGAAGTTATTAAATATCTTCGTTGGACAAAAAAAAAGAAACTCAGAATATGTGATGTGTTCGTCAGATAATGTTCATAATTCGGCTTCGCTGATGATAAACAAAAATCAAGCATTAATTCAAGACCAAGCTGTCGAGTATATATCAATTGAATTATATCAATTCAAATAAATACATGATACACAAACAAGTATGAATACATACAATAACAAACTGTCTCAAAAGGATACTTTTTGTTAACTCGAATACATTGTATCTACTACGTGAAAAGCTAAAGGATATATAAAGATTTTGTGATACAACTAAATTGAAAATTATTGTAATCAGTGTTTAAAAAAAAATATATTTCCAGATTGAGATTATTTCTTAGTAAAACTTGATGATTGATTAGACATAATATGTGTTCACTTTTACATTAGATATATTTAAAAACTCGTCGAAATCACAAATAGATACTTAAAAAATTGTTCGATTAAATCTATTTTTCAATAACAATTAAGATCAATTTCATTGTTTTTCTATTCCGATGATTCTTTGTTAGATTTAATTTGATTATTATATCAATGAATGTTTCTATTTGTTCAAAAAATTGACTAAGAATTATGTGTTGTACATGAGTTGAACTCTCTCTTAGTAGCATTTGGTTTTCATGACTTGAAATATACACTTGCTATTATGAACATTAGTTAGAAATTTCTTTTCTTTCATTATTTTTTCTTATCTTAAAACATGCCATCTATAACAATATTTTCTATTTTTTTTTCATTGGTTTCTATGAAACCATTAGTAAAAAAAAGCCATGCGTTCAAGTCATATGAAGATTTTACATATTTATCAAATAAGAAAGATTTGACTCATCTTCAAGTTCTATTCAATGATTTCGTTTTATATTTTGAAAATAATACAATACTTTTGTTGTTTCCTTTATGCTTGTTATTAAAGACTATATTATTGATAAATAAAAAAGGATGTCATTTTTGATGCGTTTAATCATTTATTAATGATAGTTTGCTCTTTGGACTGCTTTTATTATTATTATTGTTTGCATTGAAGTCTTCTATTGATAAGACATGTTGTTTCGTTTTATTAAAGCAAGATAAGAAACCACATTATTTATGTAGGATAGTAATTTTCTTTGTTACTTAACAAAAAAATCTTCTGCTATTTCATTTCATCTTTTTTTTTTGCAAGCGTCCCCTTCTATCACTCTATATTCTTCGACCTGTATTTTAAGATGATAAGAAGTAGATCTATACATGCTGATTAACAAAACATTTGAAAAAAGTTTGCTCCTTTTATAAACTATGTGATTTGTTTCACTAAATAATCATAAAAATGTCTAGAGAAGAAAGGAAAGTATTTAGACAGCAAATATTGACTGATCGATTGATATTATTGAATCGTGGTGACCTATATTCTGTTTACTCTATATATATTTGTGAATTATTGTTCCTATGACTAAGTCATATGTATTTATTTTAGAATGAACTCATTGCCAATAATAGAGAATTTCAATTTATCTTTTTCAAATGTTTCAACTGAAATTTATTCTTTAATTAAATCAATTCGACCAGATTGGACTCCATTAAATACTCGTTTAGTAACATTTACTGAAGGTTTAACAAATATAATCTTAGGTCTTTTTGATATTCGAACTCCTGATGATGAATCTAAAACATTAATTATTAAAATTTATGGTGCTCAAACAGAATTATTTATTGATCGACAAGCAGAAATAAATGCTATGCGTGTAACATCTGAATATAATGTATTTTCTCAACGTGTTCTTATTCAATTTAATAATGGAATTATATATGAATATGCATCAGGTAAAGCATGTTCAAGAGAAGATGTACGAAAAGAAAATATTTCACGTCTAATTGCAACTAAACTTGCACAATTTCACAATATACCAAATCAAAAATCTGAGAAACCTTATATTATTATAGTATTACGTCGATTTATTCAAATATTGAATGAATGTGCATTAGATTTATCATCTATTAGATCAGATATTGATATAATAGAAGAACGTATTCTTCCTCATCTTATTTCAAATCCTGAAATGAATAAAGATCTTGTGTTATGTCATAATGATTTACTTGTTAAAAATATAATTTATAATGAAAAAACTCAATCATTATCATTTGTTGATTTTGAATATACACATATAAATTATGCTTTATTTGACATTGCAAATCATTTTGTTGAATATGCTGGTGTTGATAATGCAGATTTTACTATATATCCAACTCGAGATGAACAAAAAAAATGGTTAGCTATTTATTTTCAAGTTCGTGGAATGAATCAACAAATCATTGATGATAATTTATGTCATCTTATCGATAAATTTTCTGCTCTTGCACATCTTATGTGGGGACTCTGGGCATTAATTCAGGCACGAATATCACAATTAGATTTTGATTATGTTAATTATGCGAATATGAGAATAGATTCTTATAAAAAATTACGACCAATTCTATTTGAACAAGAATAAAATCATATTATTTTTATATTGTTCTGTTTTTTTTTTTTTTTAATAAAATAAATTAAAATAAAATATAACATAATTGAAAATTGTAGATCTTTTTAAATAAATCAAACAAAATATGTCATCATCAAATATACATATTGCAAATGATAATGACGCATTAGCTGAAATGCTTGGCTATCGTCTTGAAGAATTAATATTAGTGAAATTAAATAAAAAACAAATAATAACTATTGGTCTATCAGGTGGTTCACTAATTGATTTACTTGCATCTATGTTACCTCGTTTACAATTACCTTGGGCTCGTTTAAGATTTTTTTTTGTTGATGAAAGATTTGTTCCATTTACATCTAATGATTCAACTTATGGAAATTATCAATCAAAATTATTTCGACAATTACCACTAATTGAGAAAAATATTATTAAAATAGATCCAACATTAACAACTGTTGAAGAATGTACCAAAGATTATCAAAATAAATTACAAGAAGCATTTGATAATGAAGATAAGGTTAAATATTTTGTTCTAGTTTTATTTAATATAAAAAATTTTGATATATTTAGTCATTTGATATTGTTCTTCTCGGTATGGGACCTGATGGACATACTGCAAGTCTTTTTCCGAATCATCCAGCAGTAAACATAAATGAAGGACTTGTAACTTTCGTAAAAGATTCACCGAAACCACCAGCTGAACGTGTTACATTAACATTAAATACAATTAATCAAGCAAAATATAAAATGGTTGTTATTACTGGTGAAAGTAAATCAGCTATTATTAAAGAAATCTTACAAGAAAAAAATAAAACTTATCCAATTGCTCAAATTAATGATCTGGTTTGGTATCTTGATAAAGCAGCTGCTAAATATATATAAATCATTTAAAATTAATCTTGCATATCGTCGTCATGTAGATTTTAATAACTTTTTTGTTTGAATTCGCATTAATTTCTTTGTTTACAGTGAACAGTAATAATACTTTATGAAAAAAAGAATTTGTGATCATTTATGTATTTTTTTTTTTGAAGAAATAAAACTTTAATAAAGTGAAAAATATGTTTATTGATCCATAGGTAAGTCGCAAAAATTCCATACTTCAAGGTACGACGTAAGTATGTCAAAGATATCCTCTGAAGGTTTTTAACTATTTGAAGTCTACTACCAATTTATATCACGAAGATATTAGTCTTACTTCATTTTATATAAGTCTGTCTGACAATTAAGTCCAAATATTTCATCATATTTCACTGCTAATCAAACTTTGCAATACTATAAAGTGTTTCACCTTTATTATCAGATTGATTCACATAATATGAACTCAAATTAATATGTCCATAGTACACATCGATAATAAACTTGAAATAGCTAAAACATTTTAGAGGATAACTTTGACAAATTCTTAAGGTACGAGTGAAGTACGGCATTGTCACTTCTTTTTTCTCGCTTCGATACTAAATACATCTAGAGTAAAAAAAATGCTAAGAAATGTTTGAAATGATCTTGACTGAGTTTAAGAACTCACGAAGGAACTTTTTCAAGTGTTAAATTGTTTTTGAAGCAGAACAGTGTGCACTGTGTCACTCATAATTAGTTATGAATATATCGAAAAACGTTTGGGTTATTAGCTTATCATTGTTGAGATATTTCATCTTTACTGTATTTTTGTAGCATAATACGGCGGCCATGTTTCAAAAGTATCAGGAAAACCGAGTTTCGTATTTCGGCTTGGTACGTGCTGTAGAGGTAGATCTTAATGAGATCAATCTATTGTGAAGAATGAGGAAACATTATAGTCTCTTAAAATTATTGAATATTTAAATGAAAAACGATCGATACATTTAAAAACTCATCAATGTTTCATGAAGGTATATTAGAAGAATTTCTGCCTAAATTCCTACAAGATTTTTTCAGGTTTCAAAAATGTTTCTGAATCATACAGGTAACATTTATGTTTTTATGCAAAACTTCTATTTCGTCGAACGGATCTGAAATATTTTGATACAAAAGACTCTTACAATATGATAGTGAAAAAACTTTGTAGGTTTTATATAATGTCAATTTTGTTTCAATCAATTATTCAATAATTTTCGAGATTTTAGTACTTACTCATTATTTCCTTCACTTTTTCTTTTCAACAAAACTAATTGGTAATGAACATTTTACGCTGCACTATAGTAACTATCACAAGATTCAGTCTGCAGCGAACAAAATATTTCGAGAGAATTGTCTTTGTTGACTTCTGTTATCAGATTCAAACATGTAGTACAAATAGATGGTACAATCGAAATGAAACACGAAATTGAGATTAAATATCAGCGTTTTTGATTGTAAATAAACTTTTCAACGAAAATGTCTTTCTCAAGTTTAGTTTTTTGACATATTCTGAATTTACTACATAATTAATCTATTCATAAATAGTCAGTCTAGTCATTCTATAAGTCGTCCTGAAAAACTTTTTCTTTCCTTAGGAACTTATTTAAAACAATTTTTTGTTAAATTAACTTTATTGAATTATATTTGATACAAATTGATTTCGTATTTTTTTTTTCTTGATCGTTAAAAACGTCAATTATCACAGAAGAAGATCATCTTCTTCGATATGTAATCTTTCGAATAAAATCTCTGATTGAATGAAATAATGCTTTTTGAAAAATAGTTTCACCACATAATGTATAAATATAAAACGAGTATTGCATTGGTTACATAAATTAAAAAGAAAATTATTAGTTACATTCTATAATGGATATTTCGCTTGAAATCGAGTGATGTTTTGTTATTCAAATTGGATAAAGATGGCATTTTATATACAGAAAAAAAATGAAATGATGAAATAGTCATTCTAGATAAAGTTGATGAAAATATTGTCCGAAACTTTTCGTAATACTAATAATACACTAGAGATAATCATGATTTAGTTCGATTCATTGCTAAATTAATGCTGTTAAGAATTAGTAATTCTGTATATAAAGCAAAAAAAGTCAAGAAAAAACAATGTTCTAAACAGAAATGAAAATATTCATATTTTTTCTTGCTGTTTTCTGTTAAAGAACAACAGACGGAAAAGAAACTAATTTTTTCGTCTAAGGAAATAAGGCATTTGCCTGATGATTAATTAAATCAAAATCAAAATCAATACAATATCACTATTTCTCTTTTTTTTTAATATGAATAAATTAAAAGGATATAAAAAATACAAAAAACATGGATTTATATATGTATCTAATATTTCTTCTCCTATAATGGAAGACTATGGATTTCGTATCATGTCCAAGTAAATAAGCTTCAATATTGACTGGTTTTCAGCTGAGAATTCTGTAAACTATATAGACGTACTACATTTTTTCACAAAAAG